GATCATAGATCCATCACTCGGATCCATGCACATGTCTGGTCACGACATAACTTTTCCAGCATCGTGCTCCTCTCGTCAAGACGCACCGAATGAACTGTAAGTTGTCCTTAAAAGGTCAACTTGAAAATTTGACCTCAGGTCAAGGTCATGGCCTGACTTTAAAGGTCATGCTACATTTCAATAGATCCGTATTGTTGAGCTGAACACATCTGAGTTGTTTTCACCGCTCTGGCACGTCTCTATCAAAAGTTAGCCCGGCGGCCGCTGGGCCTCCGCGCCACCCGCCGGCCGCTGGGGGGGGGGCATATAGTTGCCCCCCCTTTACTTCTGCGACGATATCGTCGCAACGCGAAGAGATAGAGAAGCGAAACTTTGCACACATCTTCCTGAATACCTAGCCGAGGTTGTGTCCAAATTTGGTGTTGATCCCATTTGAAATGACGTCACAGTGACGTCATAAGTGAAATTATAGATTTGCGACTCTCATATTCCTCACGATACATCAGATATATTTATATGCCCGAGACGGGCATATAAAGGACCGATTATTGGTCAGAAACTAGATGGAAGTGTAGTTAGATGTTTTAGGATGACAGCAGGTGCTGTCTAGTTCATTTACAGTTGATTTTCATGCTCAGCGTCATCAGAAACGGTCCATATAGGAAAACGGCAAAACTTTATGACGTCACTGTGACGTCATCTTAGGTGCTACAACCACCAAACTTTCCTCAAACATTGCCTAGGTATTCATTTGAAGCTATGCCAAGTTTCACGTTCGTAGCTCATCAGGTCTCGGAGATATTTCACAAAACGTAAAGGGGGGGGGGCAACTTTATGCCCCCCAGCGGCTCGTGGGTTAGAGTATGTAAAAAAATCTGCTGGGGGCCTTTCATGAACTGAGTTGACCTCAGGGGCACACAGAGGGATCACAGGTGCAATTTTCCGATTATATGTGTCATGTTTCCTACCTATAAACCGATGTCTTAGAGTGTTCAGAACGACATTCGTTCAAAAGAAAACGCGCATTTCAATTTTCTCCCTTTGACTTAGGTATGATGGAGAGGTCGCAAAAATGACGTGACCTTTATAGGTTACAGCTGGCAAAGTTATGAGATATACATTTTATATATACCGTTACTCTTATCAATCGCTGAAAGTTCCAAAGCGCTCGTTCAGTCGGTGTTAGCTGCAGCGGGCATTGGAACTTTTTTAGAGGTAAGGTCACTTGACGTGATCTGGTGACTTGACCAACGAAACGGGTCTGAAATTTTTGCAGCATGTGTGGAAAAAGTGTATAAGCAGGTGTGCCAAAAACGCTGCGCTCCGCCATTTTTTGAGATATTTGCGAAAACCCGAGGGGGTGTGAAAACGCCCCCTCCCCACCCAGCTCGGCGCTGGTTAAAAACGGTCCACTTTATTCTGGGTTTCCTGCAAACCATCACCAAAGTTCAAATATGGTGACTGTTCAGTTCAAAAGTGACAACTCACATTGTAAAAAGAAAGTAAAGAGGAAAAGAACGTCCGTCTGGCTGCGCATCATTTAATGGGCATTGTCCAGTGATTACTGCTACTCCGGAAGTCCTATAGATTTTCTCCTCGTGACGCCCTTCCGTCCTTACCTGCCCCCTCAGGTAGCCGCCCCGAGACGCGGCGACCTGTGACAGGACCGCCTCGAGTCCGGGGACCCTCTGACAGAGCGGGCCCCGACGAGGGAGCCGCCGGACCGCGCGACGGCGGTGGTCGAGTGGGTCGGTTCACAAGACAACGGAAGGTCGGTTCACAAGGCAACAGCAGGACGTAACGGCAGGTCGGTTTGCAACGTAACGGCAGGTCGGTCTTGCAAGGCAACGGCAGGTCGGTTTGCAACGTAAAGGCAGGTCGCTTTATACCGTAACGGCAGGTCGGTTTACAGCGTAACAGCAGCTCAGTTCACAACGTAACGTCAGGTTGATTTGCACCGTAACGGCAGGTCGGTATGACATGTGGTGAAGGATTGGTTGATCGTAGGACCGGCGCAGTGTGAGCTCAACAGAGTGACTGAAGGTCTATTCACTCGATAGTGGCTGATCGGCTTCCCGTCGGTGCGCGGGATATATATATATATATATATATATATATATATATATATATATATATATATATATATATATATATATATATATATATATATATATTTATTTATTTATCTAGGGTTAATTTTTCACGCCGGATCCGATGGGATCATAGATCCTAACCTGCAGTTTGCTTCGAGATCCACTGGGATCATAGATTCATCGCTCGGATCCATGCACATGTCTGGTCACATCTCTCACATCAGGTCGTTGGTTGCCAGCATAACAATGATCGACCAGTATTGATGGATGAGTCCGATGAGTCTATGTATAAGCTGTTGACGAACATTGGCGTCGGAAGAAACCTCTTCTCATTACGAGCGAGCGAAGTCGTATGCTGCAGAATCAGAGCTGTAGACTGTAAAGGGCAGTCCTGCAGCTCAGATGCTTTCGCCCGGTACCAGACCTATAGCAGAACTGCAGAGGGCAGCACTATGCCCAGACAGCACACAGGTCCCAGCCAGGCCTACGACAGTAGGTATCAATGAAGAGGGCAGCACTATAGTCTAGACACCCCGATCTCCTCCCGGCTCCCTCCGAGGGGACCTTCGATCGTAGCCTCCTAAAGAACGATGAAGAGGGCAGCACTGCACCTGTCCGTGCTTCTATCCTCAGGATACTGAAATCCTTCTCCTCCACGCCACAATCCCCTTCCGGGCTGGGCAGGCAACTTTATCTCATGCGGGCTGCTCCCTTGGAGCGGCACTGCTGCTCCCGAGGGAGCGCACCCCGTAGCCGGGTGCAGTGAGTGCCTTGGGGCTGGGTGGCCTGTCCTCTGGACGGGCTCAGCCCCGGCGACTCACTAGGGTGCCTGCCCAGACCAATGTCTCCCCCTAATTCCTATCATCCTTCCGGCTCTGCAATGGTCTTGTCGACCGAAAGGGCCTAACCCAACAAAACAAACAAACAGCACTGCATAGCCCAGATCATAGATCTCAGTCTATGATCTGATAGATAGATCATACACCTCAGTCTAGGTTACAGAGTACAAGCACCATTATTCAATTGCCCAGTTACGCCCACTTAGCCCCTAAGTGGGGTTCATCATTGAGTGTTAGGCCAGGCCCAGGGCAGCAGTCGAATTTTAGTAGGTACTTACATCATGAGCGCCGGGGGTTACGAAATACGACCCTTTCTAGATCGGCTTCTGAGTGTTTTGTCACATGAGGTAAGCGAAGTTCGAAAAGGCGTCAAGAATCACGAGGGAAATACTTTCATCATTTTTCAAGTCATCTCATAGATCGGGTCGGGTGCCTGAAGGTCATCCAAGGTCAAATTTCAATGTCATCCAAGGTCAAAGTAATTTGAGATTACGTTTTTGCTAAAAACACACCGAATTTGATGACTTTTTTGGGTTGTAAACAGTTAACCCGATGTTAACCCGCGCACCGAGTCAAAGATGACTTCACAGGGGTCATAAAAGTCAAAATGGTGGCGCTAGAAATGAAGAGTTTTATCGAATAACTTTCGAAGTAGCCAAGCTAGGAACAACTAGCACATGGCACCATCGTGATCCTCTCGTCAATCCGCATCGAATCATAGGTATATGTGTTGACCTCGAAAATTCAAGGTCAAAGGTTGACCTCAGGTCATGTGACCTAAGGTCATCATGTGTGTCATTCGATGCGCTTTGGCAATCCGAACACAATGAGACCATCCGCGCGGCTGTATCTCCTTCCTGTAAGGAGTTATTAGCAAAAAAAAAAAAAAACTTTGGTAAAGGTCTCCGTCATTTGCCACCGCTCTGACGCGGTGGCAAAGTTGCAAAAAAGTGTGATCATCTGTAATCAAAACTAACATGACATTCGTGATCAGCACACCAAAAAAAAACATAGCAGCCACACTTTACAACGTTCTAACTTCTAACAGATCCCGATTTTACCGACTTTTGGGTCATTGACTTGACCTGGAAGGTCAACCAATGACCCAGAACCTTACAATTGGGTACCACCGGCTTCCCCTCGTCACGGGCAACACGCCCGTTTTTTCCGCGAAGCTCTAGCTCCATCAGGGGCGAAACGGCAAGGGGGGCCATTCCCCCTTTATACGTAAGCGGCTGGAAAACACCAATACGGGCGAGGGTAAATTCATTTAGGGGAGTCCGTTCCCCTTTATACGCTAGCGGCTGGAAAAACACCAATATGGGCGAGGGTAAATTCATTGCAGGATAACCTTTTTACTAGGTCAAAGTTTCGATCTAAGGTCAGACTTTCAAGTCACCAGTGTCTGAAGTTGTTTTCCGCTTTTCGACGTCAGAAACATCATGCTGTTCAAATCGAAAAGCCTCAACCATTGCGCCAAAAGTAACTAATTGCATAGAGCTGTTTTCGCAAAAAAACGACTATAGATTTCTTGCGACTTATATTCTCTGGAGCTCAACTCGACTGCCCTGAGGTCAAACCTGAAAACACGTTAGAGAAGTAAAAGAGCCATTGAGTGGTTTGTCAATTTATTGCGATGCCTTAGCTTTACAAGGTATCCTTTGAGTTATGAGCCATTGGTGAAAAAATATCTGAATCGGGAGTTAGGCTTTGGATCGGAATCTGAATTTGACTCCCAATGCCCTCGACCTTTCAATTTTTTATGACAAGTAGCCTGGAGGTAAGAAATGCTTTGAGACCTTTGGTTTGACCTAAAAATTGACGAAGTAGATGCCTACCTATTTTATCTAATAAGTAATCATGACCTCTCAACTCAAGTCTCAACACCACCTTCCGTGTTGTCAGTCTTCCTTACCTCGCCCAGAGGCTAAGCTGGAGAGGAGTCCACCACTCCTGATCCTGTTTAGCGTACTGCTTTTTCAGATATTCGATATATAAAAAAAAACTCCTAGGGTGACGTAATAACCTTTTCTCGACAGGGACAGGTCACCGTAAAACGTCACATTGCTCAATTTTTATTTGTTTATTTTTCAAAAGCGATGCCAGGGCAGTATCACAGTTTATTCAAAGCCGAATTCATGCCATGAAATTCTTGAGAAAATCACACAAGCATCTGCACACCAGATGAAGAATCACAAGCAACGCTGCAAGCTATCACACCATATGATATTTGACAATTATACCTACACATTTCGATACAGAGAGAGAACATTCCCTGTCCATCTCTTTCCCATTCGAGGCCGTGATAGATCTCCCAGGGTGTCGTAGCCTCCCTTATCTACACCATCTTAACACCGTTAAAGATCATTGTAACGCAACGCAACCGACGCCAGTCAACCCTACGCAATTTATAACCGATAAAATCGGGCGTAGTTTCCACCCCACCCACTAGCGGCACTGCCATTCAGTGTCTGAACCACAGCTTGTCTCGATGCCCACCAGAGGCGCTAGTGCGGCGCCTTGTAGCTGCCGTCCCCGTTCCGCGCGGCGCGCCGCTGTATGATGTCGGCGGAGACGGTCTTCAGGCCGCTGGCCCAGCCGATCCGGTGGAAGAAGTCGATGAAGCCGGTGGTGACGTTGCCGGTATAGTTGGGCAGCTCAGCCGCCTTGTAGTCCCAGGGGAAGCTGTGGTGATAGTTGTGCCAACCCTCGCCGAACGCCAGCGCGGCCACCGAGCGGTTCTCCGCAGGGTGGATGTGCCGGTCGTACGGGTGCATGCCCCACATGTGGGCGGCGCTGTTCACCAACCACGTGCCGTGCAGGGTGACCACGTACTTGAGCACGGCGATGAGGTAGGCGTCCAGCAGGCACTCTCCCCAGCAGAGGTACGGCACCAGGGTGGGCAGGCCGACCACCATGACGGCCGCCAGCGGCAGGTACCAGCGCTTCTGGAACATCACCACGGGGTCCGCCTCCAGGTCGGAAAGGTCCGTGTGGCGGCCCTGCAGCTTCACCTGCGGGTGCTTACGAACCACCAGCCAGCCGCAGTGCGCGAAGAAGAACCCTCGGGTGGCGTCGTGCGGGTCGGCGTCCGTCTCCGAGTGCCTGTGGTGCAGCCGGTGGTCGCGCACCCACTCATGGATATGATTCTGACCGGCCATCGTGTACATCAGCATCAGCAGCACGCGCAGCTTCAGGTTCGCCGAGAAGGAGCGATGGGACCAGAGGCGGTGTGCGCCAGCTGTGACTCCAACTCCGCCGATACAATAACAGAACAATCCAAACACCAGAGTCTGCCATCGTGCCGCCGTCAGCGCGCGGACCAAACCCGCCACGGAGAGGATGTGAAGTATCGTGAAGAAGGCCACGCTCCGCCAGACTATTTCCGTGGGCGGCCGCTTGGCGGCGCTGCCGGCGGCAGGTGGCGCCACCTCCTCTTCTGACAGTTCCGGACCACGACGAGTGGCGACGTTAGGCGCCATGGTGGTGAGGAGAGCCGACGCTTCTGTTCTTCTGACTGGGTGAGTGCTGTCTGCTGAGGGCTGACGGCTGTTGGGCCTCACTTTAGACTGGCTGACCGGCGACCACTAAAAACTAACCGGCGATGTCAACAAAGATCCAGAAGCACAGCTGGGCTGACTGACGACGAGAGCCGATTTGAACGGCAGAGTCCCGGTCCAGCTAAGTTTCCTCTTCTTCACCAACACCCACCGATGTAACACTTGAGGCCTGTCCGTGAACAAGTCGCTATGTTTTGAAGCTCGACTCGGTTGAGTCAATCACTGAAAAGACGATCAGTCTCTGCTGCAGCAGCCACCGGCTGAGGTCCGTAGCCGTCCGCACCCGACCACAGCTGAGCACCACTGGGTCCCACGCGCCTCTTTTGTACCCTCCCGTCACCTCCGACGACAATCCAGGACTAAAGTCCACGGCCGCCGCCGACGAATGGGTAATCGGCGGCGTCGCGCGCAGCCAGCGCCCCCTGCCGGCCGACCGGACGCACCTGGCACTGCGACGGCGGCGGTGGGGAGTGACGTCATATCACGTGACGTGGCGCGGCCACCAATGGGGCGGGGCCATGACGTGGTGCGAGCTCTTTCGACGCCCGCCTGCGGCGATGAGGTTCCGTTGTGCTGTTATTAGTACGGCGAGTCTGACCGACAACCCTTCCCTTCCCATCGGCCGTTACCCTCACAGAGCTGCTGGGGCAATTCATGGTAACCGCCCGCCCTCACACCACCGCGCTCTCAATACTCGGAATGACGGCACGGTCATTGAAACTACACAGCACCACTATAGGCACTATGAGCAAAGCCGGGGGCGTTTTGCGTCATACAGTTCCGCCCGTATCGTTTACCGCTGCGCACTGCAACGGCAAAACGCAGCACCACGGTACACCCACCAATTATACACGAACAGATCGCGTCAATCGCTGAGGTCCAGGTTCAGGTGGTAAAACGGACGTGCCAGCGGAGGCTCGCCGCTCGAGCCGTGTGGCGGGTGCTATGCGCTTCTACAGCTAGAAATTGTAAGCCTGGCGACGGGCGTGAGCGCTAGTTACCGTGTTTTTGGCACCGGAACTCACCTGGCCGGAAGTATAATACTACGATAACGATATAGCGTGCGTGCGGGCGGTGCCACCGTGTGAAATGGGCGGTCACCATATGCTGCCGTGTGACCCGGCAGCCGCCGTCGGGTCATCGGCTAATGGGGACCTCCCGATGGAATTAACGATAGATTACAGTTGCGCGTCAGTGATAAGTGTCAGTCGCAACGGCGGAAAGACCCGATTTGTGGTTAATCACATGGCGCAGAAAGAAGTTCAAGCCATTTACATATATGCTATAGCAATTACAGGTGTCTTCAAATGCGTTACATTATATATAGAGTAGTCTTGCCCGTCCATCAACTTATAAAGATATGTGAATAGGAAACGGATGGCCTGTAATTTCGCCGTTAAATCCCGAAACGGTTTTGTGATTAAAAATTTAATCAATCCCTTCAAAGCCCATCACCTACACCGGAAATACACAGATGCATTGCATACCTTTACAAAATGCGGAAGTGACTTTGATATTGTTGATAGCTGTACTACAGAGCCTTAGCTGCACAAAGCAGCGCTTGTCCATAATGACCTGTGAGTGTGGTTACCAAGTAAAACGTTTATCCGACCGCGTTATTGTGTTGAGCTGTTTATGAGTCACTTGTAAGCTTTAGCCATTCGCCTACTTATAGCTCAAATGTAAAATAAACTCAAACCAGCTCAATTATAAACTAACTTTGCACATTTGCTGACCATGTATAAGGAAAGTGCAAAATTTAAGTGCCTAATAAAATATGTGCCCATTGTAAATGCTGGATGCCCAATGCCCATTGCCCATTGTAAATCGGGGCCGCTACGCATGGTGTCTAACCAGGTGCCATGTTATTTGTTTGGCGTATTTGCCGTTCGAAGCGCAGCTTGCTATTTACCTCTCAGCGTTACGTAACGTTATGGTGAAGAAAGGGTGTTTTGTTTTCTCCGCAGACACAGTGGGGCGTTTCTATGCGAGGACAAAAAGACGGCCGGCTTTTTACGTTCCAAACTGCCTGAGGCGGTGGCGGTCGCCGGGCGGGCGGGAACATCAGTTTCCCAATGCGTGGTACTCGCTGGTTACCTACTTACGTGTCACACCAGTGCCCATGTGTTTATCACGGGACTGGGCTCTGAGTGTCAAATATTATTGTTCTGATGGTAAGCTGCCTTGTCAAAGTTTTTCTTATTTGGATGTTTTTTTCTTTTAGAAAGTTTCTGAAAGTTAAAAAAAAATCCCGGAAAATAATTTGACCCTACGTCTTTGCTCGTAGGGTCAAACCTCAGTACAAGTGTTTGACTTCAACAAAAGTAACCTATGCCTGAGTAGTTATATTGTTTTTCTCGTGTCATTAAACCTCGCCCTGGCACGGGGGTTGATGCAACCCCCCTAAGGTTTTTCAAAGATAGCGTAAAAACGGCGGCGCGCAGCGCCGCCAAATTTGGCATAGCCTATGGGGCAACTTTTTACATATGACCTGAAAATTTCAGGTCCGGATGACCTTGGGTCAGGTCACCAAGTCAGCAAAACCGGTACAAGGTCATGGTCAAATTTCAATTTTCTTTATGCACCTATCCAACTCACAGTTTTGGACTGATTTTCTTCAAACTTTCAGGATGTACTAAGCTCACCGAGTTGTACAACATATACCTAGTTCGGGTTTTTTGATGTCACTGACCTGAGGTCAGTTAGAGATCATTACGTTGTAATGTTAAGCCTATGGTAAAATATTCAATTCGGAAAATACTGGAGATATCCGCTTCGTGCTATCACTTTTGTGCTTTGAAACCACAGTACTTAACACCAGGTCACTTGTTGCTTCTTTGTTTGGTGTACTTATCCATGGGTCGGGTCAAATGAGGTCAACTGAGGTCAAATGACGTTTTTGCCAATAACTTGGCACACAATGACGCTAGAGCTTAAAAATGGTGGGTGATCAGCCGAATCGAATGATATGCAATATGATGCGCAGTTTGGTTAATTTGAACTTAACTAATAAATTAAAGTTTACAACCCTCGTCCGTATTGGTGTTTTTCCAGCCGCGAACGTATAAGGGGGGGTCCGTTGGACCCCCCCTTGCCGTTTCGCCCCTGATCGAGCTAGAGCTTCGCGGAAAAAAAGAGCGTGTTGCCCGTGACGAGAGGAAGCCGATGACACCCAATTTTAAGGTCCTATGTCATTGGTTGACCTTGCAGGTCAGGTCAATGACCCCAAAGGCGGGAAAATCGGGACCTGTTAGAACGTCGTAAAGTGTGGCTGCTAAGAGGTTTTTCGGGGTGCTGATCACGAATATCATGTTAGTTTTGATCACAGATGATGTCTTCATGCATTTAGGCCAGGTCGGGTCAGGTCAGGTCAGGTCAACCAGTAAGGGTATTCGTAGTAGGTGGCAACCGCCTCTGACAGCTTGGTAACATGTTGAAGGCACCAAAACTACTTCGTAAATGTTCATATGGTTGCTAAATTCGAATTCAGCTAAAAAAAAAAAAAACTGGCCCAGAAACATGTAAAACTCGAAAAAGTGAACCGAGGTCATCAAAGGTCAATGACCTGACCTGACCTTCAGATGGCCTCGACACCCACCCTAATGCATGGGGGCAACATCATATCCAGGGTTGTATACCAATCAAGTCGATTGAATTGATTGATTTGATTCAACGCGTATTTTGAGTTGATTGGATTGAGTCGATTGACTTTTCGAGATGACTGGTTGACTGACTCGTTTGACTTTAGCGACTGGTTGACTGATTTGATTCCCGAAAATTAGAGTGACTCGTATGATTGAGTTGATTGAATGGAAAGTTCAAATAAGTTTTAGTTGACGAAAAATAATGACACCAATTGATGACATCAAAGATCACAAAACTACACTGAAAATTGCTTGTCATCACAACTGCAATATGGGGTAGATGGCCAAATAAAGAAGAGGGCCTAAACATGAACACGAACAGCCAACTTTGACTTTCAACTGCAATAACTGCTCCAATCCTGGTGATCATGATAGAACCCATGGCGATGCACCTACCTACCTTTCTGCACTCAGCAGGAAACGTTTTTTTTTTTTAATCCAGATGATAAAGTGCAAGGCCCTATATACTAATAAAGTGTGATTAATTAATAATTCACATCTCCACATCTCCTCAGAAACAACCCACTGAACTCTATAAATATCTGAAACCCCTACAAAAATAACTGAAACAAAAGCGCCGTTTTCGTCTCGCTAAATTTGCTGCATTGTTTAATTTGCAGCAGAACGTTTGTTGATCCTTTTCTCCTGAGAGCCTTAGCATAACATATTTAATATATTTCATTTTCCTTAAAATATTTTACCGAAAATTATAAAGTGGTTTTATTTCAAATGAAATAATAATTAAAACGAAATTGGTGTTGTACAACCGATTTATTTTATGATAATCTACCATACTACATGATTATCAATGACGTCATCTTACCAAAAAATCAAAGACGTAGAATAAGCATTTAAAAAAGCTTAGCATACTTGTTGGCAAAACGTTTTCTATCCCCCAGTCCTAACAGTTTCAAATTGTATTGCAATAAAATGTTTTGAATTCTTCACATATAACCTATCTACCTTCGTTGGTACTGTTGGTAGCCAGTGACACATCTAGGCGGGTAAGTAGGTACCTACCTGCTTTCCTGCTGTCTTCATAAAGCATACATAATGAAGTTGTCAAATTTGTAGCACATTTTCAACACTTTCATATGGTGTCAGTGTGGCATGAAACCTAGCTAGGTTCATTATGTTTAGGGTTCATTTCAGAAGAGCTCCGCATAACTCACATAAGAGACAGACAGGGGCTTTACATGGGGTAGATGGCCTGATGACTTAGCTGGAATACCTATGGCCAAAATTAAATTGACAACTTTTAGGTGAAAGGTGGTGATTTGGGTTAAGGGGCGAGTCAACTACTGGGTTATTTTGCACCCATTAAATGAAACTTCTGCTCCAATTCTACCCATTGAACCTCAATATCATGATCCACCTGTCCATCACCAGGTATCCTTCCTTATTACATAGAATCTTTGAATGGCATGGCAGTTTATAATTTTAAATGACAATATTTTTATGTTTCTTCTGTAGGTAGGTAGGTAGGTAGGTAGGTAGGTAGGTAGGTACACCAGACTGCTATGGACACTTTTCCAAGTTGGTGGGGCAAAAAACCTAATGTATGTCTTGGTTTGAGTCGTTTGATTGAGTTGATTGATTCCTTTCATTGTCGTGTTTGAGTCGATTGAATCAATTCCCGAAAACTGCTCTGACTTGATTGATTTGATTGGTTTCCCAAATTTGTCGTGATTGAATTGATTGCTATTGATTGAGTCGTATACAACCCTGATCATATCACATGTTTGAACGCTTGAAACCACGAAAAGACTGCAAACGCGCGGCTAATGCGAGCCGACATACGCCG